ATTTTTAGTAAAGATGGGGTTTCACCATGTTGGCCAGGATGGTCTCGATCTCTTGACCTCGTGATCCACCCGCCTCGGCCCCCCAAAGTGCTGGGATTACAGGTTTGAGCCACCGCACCCGGCCAAAATAAAAAAGATTTTAAATGTTCTCACCACAAATAAGTAAGTATATGAGATGACGAATGTGTTACATAGCTCAATTTGATTGTTTTACATGTATACATTTATCAAAACATCACATTGTGCTTCATAAGTATATACAATTACTATTTGTCAATTTAAAACTATTAGGCCAGGTACAGTGGTTCGTGCCTGTATTCCCAGCATTCTGGGAGGCCAAGGTGGGTGGATCACCTGAGTTCAGGAGTTCGAGACCAGCCTGGCCAACATGGCAAAACCCCATGTAATTTCTCTACTAAAGACTGTATTTTCTCTACTAAAAATACAAAAATAAGCTGGACGTGGTGTCACGCGCGTGTAACGCTAGCTACTTGGGAGGTTGAGGCAGAAGAATCCCTTGAACCTGGGAGGCAGAGATTGCAGTGAGCCAAGATCGTGCCACGGAACTCCAGCCTGGGTGACAGAGTGAGACTGTCTCAAAAAAAATAAATAAAGTAAAATGAAATTATTTTTAAAACAGGTCTGGGATAATGACAGGGAGGATTCTAAGAGGGAGATACTGGGATTTGAATAGCTAAAGCCATCTAATTAGGAATGAATCAGCATCAGAAGCAGTGGACTTCAGAGTGGAAAATTACAAGATTCCTATTGAGATAGTTTAGTAGTGTATTTAGCGGGATTCAGAATATTATCCCCAACATAATAGATTTTAATGACCTTCTGTAAGAAATTTTCTACTCTATTATAAACACAGTCTCTTTTCATAGATTTTTTAAAAAGTTATTTTCTTTGTCTTTATATTTCTTTGCCTTCATCATTAACGCTTGCTTTTCCGTTCTCAGTGTCTCATTTTTGTTGATAAAACTTAAATCAGAATTTTCCATACTGCTATCAAGATGTATTATTTCATTTGATTCCCTCTACAGTTCTATGAGGCATTATCACCTTTTTTTTTTTTTTTTTTTTTTTTTTTTTGAGCTGGAGTCTTGCTGTATCACCTGGGCTCCCAGGCTGGAGTACAGTGGCACAATCTCGGCTCTCTGCAACCTTCGCCTACTGGATTCAGGCGATTCTCCTGCCTCTGCCTCCCAAGTACAGTAGCTGAGATTACAGGTGTGTGCCACCATGCCCAGCTACTTTTTGTATTTTTAATAGAGACAGGGTTTCACCATATTGGCCAGGCTGGTCTCAAACTCCTGACCTTGGGATTCACACACCGCGGCCTCTCAAAGTGAGCGTTATCACATTTTACAACGGAGAAGATTGAGACAGAGAGACTGATTTATCTGAAATTATATGGCAATACTAGGTCAGAACCCAGACATATGATTTAGTATTAGTTTTAGGTGAATAAGAGGCCTAAACATATAGTTTTATCCTCTCATATCAAGAGTCCAGACATAGGCAGTCCAGAGCTAGTGTTTAGGCTCTACTGCGTTGCTTCCCCAGGTTGGCAGATACTGGAGCCATCAGCTCATTATACAACATAATGATGTGGTTCCATCCCAAGATGGCTACTAGAGCATCAGCAGGCAGCTTAATGGAGGAAGAAAACAGAAAGGGTATGCCCCATACATTTAAAGAGACTTCAAGGTTTTATATAAAAGTTCTATTTATAAATATCTCAAGAGTAACATGGCTATCCTAGCTGCAGAGAAGGCTGAAAGTATAGTCACCTGGCTGGCAGAAATGTACACAGCTATTAGCCAGACGTGGTAGCATGTACCTGTAATCCTAGCTACTCTAGAGGCTGAGACAGGAGGATCACTGGCACCAAGGAGTTTGAGGCTGCAATGAGCTAGGATCATGCCACTGTATTCCATCCTTGAGTGACAGATTGAGACCCTGCGTCTAACACACACAAACACACACACACACACGCACGCACGCGCGCACACACTCTTAGCTAAAAATCGGTTATTTTGCAAAAGAAGGGAAGACCGGATTGGGATGTAACTAACAATCTCTGCTCCAACAGGCATTTTGATATTTGGTCTAGTGCTTTCCCTCTGTTTCATGTTATCTCTGACTTGTTAGCTAATGATTTAATCATCTAAGCCTCCAGGGCTGCCATTTTTTCCAAAAGTTTTCTGTCTCCCAGATGAATAATTACAATAAAAGCTACAGTTTAATGAGGACTTGCTTTGTTTTAGGGGTTATTCTAAATATTTTGCATGTTTTAAAACTTTTTTTTTTTTTTTTTTTTGAGACAGACTCTCACTCTGTCACTCAGGCTAGAGTACAGTGGCACCATCACACTCACTGCAACCTCTTCCCCCTAGGTTCAAGTGATTCTCCTGCCTGAGCCTCCCGAGTAGCTGGGGCTACAGGCATGTGCCACTACACTCGGCTAATTTCTGTTTTTAGTAGAGACAGGGTTTCACCATATTGACCAGGTTGGTCTCGAACTCCTGCTCTCCTGGTCTCAAGCCAGTCCACTCACCTTGGCCTCCCAAAGTGCTGGGATTACAGGCATCAGCCACCGTGCAGTCTTTTAAAAACATTTAATCCTCACAACTACCCTGTGGAGTACATATCATTATTAGCCTCTATTTTATATCTGAAAAAACTGAGGTACAAAACCATCAGTGATTTGCCCAAAGTTACACAAATAGTAAATGGCAGCGTCAGAATTTAAGGCCAGGAAATCTAGCTCCAGAGCCCATCCGCTGAAGCACGCCTTCTCTACAGGGCCTCCTGGGGGAGTGCTGGAATTGCCCAGAGGTTGAAAGTGGCCTTTACCACCACTGGAAGCCAGGCTGATCAAGCCATCTCCGTGCAGGCATCCCTTCTCAGGACTGTTCAAAAGCTGTATTCAAAACAGTATATTGGCTGGGCACAGTGGCTCATGCCTGTAATCCCAGCACTTTGGGAGGCTGAGATCGGCAGATCACTTCAACCTAGAAGTTCCAGACCACGTTGGGCAACATGGTAAATCTCCATCTCTACAAAAAAAATACAAAAATTAGCCTGACGTGGTAGCGCACCTGTAGTCCCAGCTACTTGGGGAGCTGAGGCAGGAATATTGCTTGAGCCCGGGGCGTTGAGGCTGCAGTGAGCTGTGCTCACATCACCCTGAGGGGCAAAGTGAGACCCTGT